CTAAGAGGATATTATTGAAAGTGACAGTTGCTTAGTGTAATTAAAGGTGAGGAGCTCAGCACAGCAGAGTTTACTTCCTAATAGTGACACAGTGATTTTTCTAAACCTTGATTATTTTTTTATGTTTAGTTTAAAGTCATTACTGAGATAATAACCATGTGTGTGGTTATTCCATATTTAAGGCTATGAAGAGTCTGGTGACTGTCATGGAAAAAATCCACATTAGCTGGGACTATAATAGGATAAACAGCTGCTGTGAATGTGTACCGTGTTATATTTGAGTTGTTAGGAGACATGGGTTAGAAGGAATGGTCTTTTAGAAATACCCCATCTCTGTGATACCACTGGCAAGACGCAATGATATTGACTTAAATATGGGGAAATGAGAGGCTGCCATAAGATGTCCTCTGTGCTTTGTTTCCAGCAGATAGGCAAAAAGCTTTGAAGTGTGGATTGGCACAGCAGGGTGCTAGCTTCTGTAAAGGGAAGATGCTAAACGCTAAAGGATGAGAAGGACATGAGGTAGTCTATTACCAATAAAGGAGCAAAGAGAGGGGGAAAGGCAAATCCAATGATAATGTACATCTGTTCCAGTGAATTTATGAGCTTTGAACATTTTTTCATGTGGGATAAGTGGTTCTTTTTTCTTACAGAATCTCAGAACTTCAAAGCAGATTTGCTTTGGATAATGCAAATGATCGGAATATGCCGGTCCCAGCCTCCTCAAGAGCATGAAAAGAAAAGGGGAAAATAGAGAATTAAAGCTAATTGCCATGGCAGTCTTTTATGTGTCTAAAGAAGGGCAAAAATAAAACACTTCAATTATTGTCAAGTTCATTCAATTAGGAAAGACGCTGACAAAGTGTTAAAGTTCAGTGTGACTGACCCAGAACTCATTTTCATTAAATGCCACTTTTCATTTTGGACAATTCCTTTGTTATAGCTGATGAAATCATAATTAGAAGGATTTAATTCATCCTGTAATTACTAAGATGGCAATGACTTTGTTTAGCTCTGGTGCTGTGGTGGCTCGTGCATAGGACTGAAAGTTATTTTTCCACTAGTCCAGTATTTCTTATATATCATAACTCCAGAACAATGTGAACATTTTAAGCAAACACAATCTGTTTATTAAGTTATTATTATGTTATTTAGTATTGGGTATAAAAAAAAAACAACAACAAACACAGGATCACAGTTTAATTTTGTCTTGTATATTCTGATCCCTATGTTTTTGAAGAACTTGGTCAAATGAATGGCAGAAGTAAAGAACAATGTTCTATGCATCCTTTATTTTACCTTTGCCAAGCAAAAGAGATTGTGAGGCTATACGGTGAGTCCATTTTAAAAAGTTAAAATAGATTGTTTTGCATCTACAGCAGTCTGCATGAGAGGTTTAAGAGGATCCGTGATATTGATATGTGGCCTGATCTTTGCAGTTTTATTGCATGAACTGATGTAATAACACAGAGAGCAAAGTTGTTTTGCCATTTTACATACATTTATATCTAAACTCAGTCTTAATCCGCTTTAACTTATGAATTAAATAGCTCACCATAAGATATAAACCCTGCCACAACAACAACACAAAAGGCAGCAGACTGTTCCTTTTCACGCCATTCTGCAAATTGCACTGTCCAACTTTTTCAAAGTCCAAATCTGTCTGGACTTCCAGAGGCTGACTCCAGACTTCTCGAGATAGCAAATGAATAAAACAAGGCTCCAGAAAGTTGCATTGGTTTTTAGTAGATCATTGGAGCTCTTTCTTTTTGCAACATCAAAGGCAGCCGCAGCTCTTTGATGTGGCAGCATGCTGTTTAAGGTACAGACTGAATGGAGAGGTGTCAAGCTGCAAGGTGCCTCTGTAGTTTACGTTGAGTGCTGCAAAGAGCTGCAGATGAAAGGCGCAAACAGAGTTTGATAATGAATGTCCAACAAGTAGGACCCATCTCAGACAGCGCACACTCAGCAGGGTGCTTGCGCTAACCTTGAGCACAGCACCCTAAACCTCGGGCAGATGCCGGAGACCAGACTCCTTCAACTTGGCTGCTCCTGCAAAAAGGGAGCTCTCAGATGTGAGCTTTAATCTTCCTGTCAATTAAATCCTGATTGACACACACACCCATACACACATCATCATGGACACATGCTCCTCTTAACCCGTCAGCTCCGAAAGCGACGCCATCCACTTCCTCTGCTGAATACTTGTCTTTCTGGCTTGAAGAGGCTATTTCTAATTATACATAAATCCTTCCAATATAAAAGGCATTTTATGGCTTATATTTATGCATGCTGCACTAGTTGTCCTCCAACTTTAACTTTAGAAATTGAATGAGGTAATTCACTCAGCCATTCTCTCAGTGGAAAGCAATATTACAGCATGTCAATATACCACACACTCAGCTTTTTAACCTGCAATACCACAGATAACATGGCTGCCTTGTTGTTTTTAGTTTGCAACCTGTTAAAATAAAAGTTTTACTGCTTGTGTAAACAAGCACACTGGGAAGAATGCTTTTTTTGCATCACTGGTTTGAAGTTCTCTGTATTTTGATTAAAACATCTCTAATATTCCATCTTATTTATGTTTCCTAGAGAATTATGTCTAGGAGTTATGGGAACTGATCTCTGAAACAAATATTAAACTTTTAATTATAAAAAAGATATGACTGTTTTCCAAAGTCTTTTTGACAAAGTGCCACTATAATTTCAGTAACCTGCTAAGGAAGCACTATCTCATACAAAAACATAAACTGTTAGCTGACTGATTTTAAGTCAATGCATTTTAACAATAATGCAAATCGGTGTGCTCATGTTTGTGGTGTCATTGTACCGAATTTCCCTGACAGTGATCAATTACAGCTTCTGATTATTTGACTGTTTGATTTTGTCATATCATGTTATGTTATGTTATGTTATTTTTTTTGCAATATAGTAGTTTCAAAGTTCACTACATATGTTTTAAAAACAAGCAAACTTTGTGTAACTGTAAGATTACACTAAAATGAAACATGCCGGCTTGCTTCTGGGAGTTCTGAATCTCTGGTAAAGCAATCAGTACACAAACAGCCCATCAGTGCACCTGGCTTAACACTGAGCTCACAACATGTGCTTTTGATATCTGCACAGAAAGAATGCACAGTGATAAAATGGCTGCAGCCAAAGTATTCCATCTCTGTTACAGGAGTGAGAAGGATCCAGCCCTGAGCTGCACTCTTACTCATAGACATGCAGTTTAAAGCTGATTTAGTGGGTGAGGTTATTTAGTGCTGGGTGGGTCAAGACTTAACACTCATGTCCAATAAAGTCCAAGATAGGGATTAGATCCTGTGGTTCAAGCGTAATTTGATGTCATTTGCGATTTCAAGCTTGTCATGAAAAATAAATAAATAAATAACATACACAAACACGCATACACATACAGAGGAAGACAGCCATAGGGATAGAAGTAGCTATACTGAATGACAGAGACATCAGGTAGAAAGAACATGTGAAGCTGAAAAAGTACCAAAGGCTAAGAGAAGAGCTCGAGAAGATGTGGAGGATGAAGGCAACGGTAGTCTTAGTGGTAATCCCAGCATTTGGTGGCGTGACCACCAAGCTCCAGCACATCCCAAGAGCAACATCTCTGTCCAGAAGAGCGCAGTCCCAGGAACAGCTAAGATACTGTGCAGGACCATCAAGCTCCCAGGCCTCTGGCAGAGGACCTCTACTTGAAGGATAAAGAATTTTTTTTATATATATATAGTTGTCTTTAAAGCGATTGAACAACAAAACAGCTCCTAATAATATAAAAATAATACTAATAATGAAGAATATTATATAGTCCAAACAAATGAAGTGGAGTTACATATTTTTCCTGCAATAAAAAAGGTGTTTGGAACTGTCTCTAAACAGAGCACAGAAATATAAAGCTATGTCTTTTGGGACCGTGTGTGTATTTTATTATTTTATTTTCGACATTATTTTACCCTTTTTCTTATGTGTTGAAACTTCTCTCGACCCCCCTGCTGTGATTTGGATAACAGAACTCCACCTTAAAGCTTCAAGTAAGATGCCTCACAGAGAGCACTCTGCATTACACTCCCCTTGGTGGAGTTGCCTGTTTTCAGACAAGAAGAACAAGCAAAAGAAGAAGAGAAACTCCCGTTTGAAAGTTTTACTCCAGTTTGTCTTTGATTACTCCTGCCCTTGAGTGTTTGAGGATTTTCTCGAACAGGGCACAGCGAACACACACAATAAGCTAATCATGTTACTCAGGAGGGAGCTGTAATAATGAAAATGATAAATATATGACTGCCCGAAAAGTCACTCTCGCACCTATTTTATCTCAGCTTCAAAGAATGCAGAGGGAGTAAGGAGCATTATGTGCGGTTTTAGGGTTGGGTTTTTTTGAAGTTTAGATCAGATGCACAGCATGCAGCCTACACTGCAGGTTCTCAGTTTCTGTTCTAACATTGTAAAACTGATACCGTAGCAAGATGATTTCCTACAACCTCTTTATGAATCTGCTGGGATTTTCTGCTTGATTTCTAATTGAACCGCAGTATCTTGTGCCCACAGACACAGTTTGAGCTCTGATTGAATTGATTCGAAGAAGACAGCTTTAGTGATACAAAAAGAAACTGTTAAAAGTGGAAAATCTGTGCCGACACCATGTTGTTTTCTTATGCAATAGTTCCATCAAGTGGTTGCAACACCAAACTGCGATGGGGATTGGAAATACCTAAGACCCGTAAAAGTTTCCGCCACTTTCTTTAAAAGAAGAGAGAAAAAAAATCCCACCCCAAATTACCCTTTCTATTCAACCTTCTGCTTTTTTAAAAACTGCAGTTCCTCTTTGCGGTCTGAAGAATGCAGTATCTTGCAAACGAGACAAGAGGATGTGGAAGTCTCAGTGAAATGTAAGCGCTTGAGTGTGGCAAGCTATATTTAACCAACCTTAAGTATCAAGTCACCATTGTTTGCTCTGTTTGGAAAGCACCAGGGAAGTTGACCATTGCGTCTATGCCACATCTCCGCCTGTATTTAGCTACCATATTATGGGAGGGACTTGGAATCAGGGCAAGTTTCACTTTCAGCTGCAGAATAGGGAAGAGGTAGGACCCTATAACTCTACAGCGGCTCTGTTCGTATGACAGAGGGAGGAAAGAAAGCCAAGTAAGTAAGTGTTCTTTTTTGTGGTTTTATTTTGTGTTACTTACGTCTGCAATTGAGGTCGCTTAGTCGGCTATTCCGTACTTGTACATGTTTTAAAGGGACCAGCAACACATTTGATGTGTATGTAATGGTAGCCATATATTCTTTTCATTCTGGTTTAACTTTTTGTTATGGCTTAAGAGAAAGACGCACAAAATGACATGTACTGCTGTATGATATTTAAAACAGAGTTAGAAAAGAAAGAAGGAAGCTCTAGTTGGCCCATAGTAACATGTTGACATTTGGCCATTTGCTGTGACAGGTTTTCACACCACAAGAAGCAGAAGTAACCACAAACTGAATGTCCCTGAGCATGGGCACTGATATGGAGAAAGAATGCTTGCCGAGGAACTAGTGCTTAAACAAAGGACGAAGATACTGCATGCACTGTGCAGCAGTGGGTCAGCTGAGCATCTGGAGAGGGTTCTGGATATACTGCTTGCCCAGGGGGCGCTCATATGGGAGGACTACCAGAACATACAGGTACCAGGAAGAACACTGTATACCAATGCAAGACAGCTGCTTGATCTGGTCTATACAAAGGGTGTGGACACATGTGGGCTCTTTCTACATGCTCTCAAACTGGTTTTGCCTGAAGCACAGGCAGTGGGGCTCTCTTTCTCCGAATCCTGCTCAAATCTAGAAGAAAACGATGAACGTCAGAGCACTTCTAATCAAACTCTTCTGGCTCAACGACCGAGCCTTGTCCACAAGCTTCAGGGCTGTGTTGATGGTGTTCTAGAAGCTCTGCTGGATTCGGGTCACTTTTCTTCAGCTGATTGTGATGAAGTGCGGTTACCTATATATACTCCCACCCAACAGGTACTGTAAGCACCTGAATGTCACATTGTTAAAATGTGGTTTGACAACTTCATGCAATTGTTCTTTACCTTTAAACTGTCTTGGAATGAAGCTTGTCATTATTTCTGAATTCCTGATACTTAGATGTCATACAGACAGAAGTGCTGGAGTATTTTTGTTACTTTTTATGTTACTTTATCAGTCAATACTATACTTTAAATAGATCTAATACTATTCTGATATTCCTGAGTAATTATACAAGTAATATAAAATAATATAAAGAAAACTGGTAAACATATCTTGCTGCCTTTGTATAGATCCAGGCAAGGTTTTTACCACTTGGTGCCTGTCTTTGTGCTAAGCTAAGCAAGGTAAAGCTCTTTCTGCTGTTGCATTATTAGATTATGAATATGTAAGTTGGTCTTTTATATAACTCTGCAACAATCCAAATAACTGTCAAAAATAAACTTTTTATTATTTTCATCCATGTCCATGTGATCAATCAGGCAAGGCGTCTGCTTGACCATGTTAGATCCAGAGGTGATTTAGCAGCATCGGTTCTCCTGCAGTACATTCACCAAAAACAAGAACCTGGATTGCCACTTAACCAGAGGGAACTGACTCCTCCCAAAGGTCTGTTACTGTAAAAAGCAATGTTTAAAATCGCAGCAATATGTATTGTTTTTATGAGTAAAGCTATCCTTGATCACCCTCATGGGAATAATGTCCGAAATACAGAAGGTTTCTGGTTATACTTTGAAACACAAAATTGGCAGATTATATTACAAGATTATGCATGTTCCACATTTTACCAAAGAGATACAGGATGTATGAAATGATGACTTGTTCACTCATTCCATCTGTTCTTCACAAATTTTTCTTTCACAGAGTTTTTAAAGTACCAGAAGAAGCTGAGCAGCTCTGTGTCTGCTCAGGCCTGCTTTCTCAGCACTTATGGGGGAACTAGCCATATGTCTCTTGATGACATTTACACTGACGGCGAGCTGGAACTAGCTGAAGTTAATGCCCATGGACCTTTGGGATTGGAAGACATCGTTGGTTTGGCGGGTATAGTGAATGAGGAGGCCGACACAGTGCTAGTATCTGGGGAGGCAGGCAGTGGAAAAAGCACCCTTCTCCAGAGGCTGCACTTGCTTTGGGCTCGAGGGTTAGCCCTTCAAGACTTTCTCCTTCTATTTCCATTCAGCTGTCGTAGGTTGAATTCAGAGCACAATGAACTGTCAGTCCAGGAGTTGTTGTTTCAGCACTGCTGCTGGCCAGACCGGAATCAAGAAGAAATTTTCCAGTTCATCTTGGACCACCCGCATCAAATCCTGTTCACTTTTGATGGCCTGGATGAGCTCAAGCAGAGCTTTACAGATGAACACAGAGTTTGCTGCCCCACCCAGCGTGCACCTGTTCATGTATTATTGTTCAACTTAATCCAGGGTTCCCTCATGAAGGGGGTGCAGAAAGTGGTCACTAGCCGTTCAGAAGCAGTGAGCCCATTGTTAAAGAAGCACCTACGCAAAGAGGTTGTCCTGAAAGGGTTTTCCCCAGCTGGGATTGACTGTTTTGTACGGAAACATCACAGGGACCCCACTGTAGCCGCTAAGGTTTTAGAGTCAATGCAGGCGAACACAGCTTTACTTGGACTCTGTCACAGTCCAGTTCTCTGCTGGATAGTTTCACAGTGCCACAAGGAGCTGCTGGGCTGTGGAGAAGGCAGCCCCAAAACAATTACAGATGTTTACCTGATGATCTTACAGCACTTTCTCCAGCACCAAAGTCCTCTGAAGAGCACGATGGGTTTAGGCTGGCTACAGGAGCACCTAAAAACAGTCCTTCTTCTTGGACAGCTTGCATTTGAGGGGATAAGATCCACCTGTTATATTTTTTCAGGTACAGACCTTGAAGCATGTGGTGTAACTGAAAAGGATATCTGCATGGTTTTTCTCATAAAAAGCAAAGATATGTCCTCTACCCACTCCAAGTGCTATGAATTCAGTCATGTGACATTGCAATGTTTCTTTGCTGCTCTCTTCATTGTTTTGTCAAGTAACACTAACCGTTCAGTTATCCCAAAGCTCTTTGAGCTAGAGAACATGAGGGAGACAGGTCTGACCCGTGTCTGCTTTGGAGCCTGCTTGCCTTCCAGTGATCAACAACAGCAAGCTTCAGAGAAGGAAAGTAAAGCAGCAGAGACACCAAATCTGCAAATCACAGCCATGTTTGTGTCTGGACTATTGTCCCAGCGCCATCAAAATCTGTGGCTCCACTGCTGCCCCAGCGCTGCGGTGGAAAAAAAGGCCAGACAGGTGGCAAAATGCCTTTCCAAAGGCATTCAGAAACACTTTAGGTCCATTCCCCAACCTGTACAAGGGGAAAAGAAGAGCATGCATGCAATGCCCGACTTTGTGTGGCTTATAAAATGCCTCTATGAGATGCAGGAGAGTCAGATAGCTAAAGATGCTATGAGCAAGTTGGAGGTGGACCATCTGAAATTGACATACTGTAATATCGGACCTGTAGAGTGCACTGCGCTTGCTTATGTGCTCCAGCACTTAAGAAATCCTGTAGGCCTCCAGCTGGACAACAACTCTGTGGGTGATGTTGGAGTGGAACAGCTTCTCCCCTGCATGCACATTTGCAATTCCCTTTAGTAAGTGGAAATTACACATTTCTCTTTTGTTAAATTTCCTTGGTTAATAGATTGAACGCCAATTCATTAGAGTGAACAAACTCTCTAACTGCTTTCACTCTAAGAGAGGAGCAGTTTTTATTCTGAAATGCCTATTGTTCCTTCCTTAGCCTCAGAAATAACAACATTACAGATGAGGGCATCCGCAAACTGATTGCTAAAGTCATCCAGTGTGACAGCTTTCAGAAAATTGCGTATGTATTATCAAGATGATTAATACTGCCAGTTAAATTAAATTTTATCAGCCAACTTTCAAAATCTTTTTGTTTCTTTCCAGGCTCTTCAACAACAAATTAACTGATGCTTGCATGCAGGATTTTTCTTATTTATTGAAGACCAAGCAGGTCTTCATTTCTTTAAGGTCAGCGTTTGTCATCAAATGTGACTCTACTGTTGGCCCAATGACCAAAAGATTAACAAATAACCTTCTTCTCTTCAAGGCTAGGCAACAATAACATAACAGCAGAAGGAGCAAAGCAGCTGGCAGAGGGACTGAAAGTCAATCAAACCTTGGCGTACTTAGGGTAAGTGTTTCCCATAAAATGTCATGTTTCATTGTTGATGAATTTTCATTTACAGTATTTCTTTGCATTTCCAGGTTATGGGGCAATAGGATAGGTGATGCAGGAACTGAGGCCCTTGCTAGTAGTCTTGAGAAAAGCAACTCTCTGGTGTGGCTAAGGTAAGATTTGCAATAATTCTGGAACATGTTTGCTTAACTTTCACATTATGAAAACCATGAATGTGCTATTTACATGATATGTTAGGATGCTTTATCAGTTGTTTTTGAAAACGCATCCCTGCACATTTTGCTTACAGCCTGGTAGGCAATGGTGTAGGGAGTGCAGGAGCATGTGCCCTCGCTAATCTCATCAGGAAGAGCACATCACTGCAGGAACTTTGGTAAGTGTTAGACACAAGTTGTATGCAGATTACCAATAGCAGTCTGGTTTGATGGTAACCACTGCTTGCACAGCAGTGCTTAAAATGCTCCACCCTCTTATTTCCTGTTAAAGGTTGACAGAAAACTGCATAACCAGAACAGGGGTTGAATGTCTGATTCAAGCCCTTAAACACAATACATATGTGACATCGGTATGGTATGTAATGCTCAGCAAGCCTGACACTCATGAATACAAAGTTCCCTATATTCTTTAGAGCATCCACTTTTGGACTGTTTGCATCCAGACAAGTTGTTTGTCAGTTTCAGTGCCAAGAAAAAAATGCATCAGTTTGGTGTAAGCTAGAATATTCTTTTTCTTTGTTTTTGTTCCCATGTCTCCTGTTCATTTATTTACTACTACTGTCTCTTCTTTTTGCATTATAGGTTAAGAAACAATGATCTCAGTTTGGAGGATGTAGAAGAAATGAAGCAACTGGAATCAAGACTGATCTTCTGATTTGTATTACAGTGGCAAAGGACTTTACTTTGCAAGAAAATGTATTTTATTTATTACAGGAATAGTTTCTATTTTTATTTGAGATTTAAAATATGTGTAATAGGGTTTAAAAAAATTTGGATCAGTGTTTTTTCAAGGTTGCAAAATACATACACCTCTTTATTGGGTTTTTATAGGTGGAAGTGGTGTGGCATTGCTTTATACCATAACAAATACTACCTTTTACATCACCAACACAACTTCTACTACTCATAGTAACAGCAGAAGTGTTATTTTTATTTTTTGTTTCTTTATTTTATTTTGTAGTTGTTAGTGGAAAGAGGTGTGAAATTTTACTACAGAATGTAAGACTGTATAGTCTGTGGTTACCGTTATGGAAGAGTTGTAACACCTTCATATCCTTCAGTCAGAAACAGCTACACATGTCCAGTTACATTGTCTTAAGGTTACAAAAAATGTTACATTTGAAGTTTGCATAGAAGGGCAGAGGCAAATATGCTGTTTTGGAGTGGGAAAAAAAGAAAAACAATTTTCTGTATCAGATCAGATGTATGTTTTTACTGTACTGATACAGAAAACTGTCTGGGACATTTACAAAGAGTATTCTTACAGTCCTTGTTGTGCAAGTTAAAAGGAGAAATTACTGACATGACAAGTTTCAATTTTTGTTTATTAAAACTTATCACAGCAGAAAAGTTTATAGAGCACATTTTGTTGGATGTTTTTTTTCTGGTTGTTTGTTGTAGGAATGAGTTTACAACTCTGTGGAATGTTTGGTGGAAATTGGGTGTATTCTGTTTTACACTATATACTATATTTATGCTGTCTATGTTACCTGTTTTTGTCATGTGTGTAAACTGGTTTCTATTTTCTGTCTTTTAATATAATGCTCATTAAGCAGATATGTAATTAAAAAAACATCCTATAAAAAGATAATTCCCATTCTGTTAATCCTGATTGAATAAATGCAGCTAAAGTACTTGAATCAGATTCACATAAGGTGAGAACATTTATTTATTTATTTATTTTATTTAGGACAGTGCATGTTAATGAACATAAATGTAAAAAAAAAAATTTACATGAATGTAAACATGCCAGATTACAGCCAAAGGCTAATTTCCATCTGTTGTCCTTAAACATAAAAAATAGACATAATAATTCATAAAAATTCATCATACATTCATAATAAAAACTCCATCACCAAACTTACACATACACACCATTCTGTTCCCAAATAAAACATTAAAACTATACAACTCATACATGATCACACACTTGATTTGTCCATAACCAGTTTTTAACCTTTGCCTTAAACAAATGAATGTCGAGCATTCTCTAATGGGTTGAGAAAGACTGTTCCACAGATGGCCTCCCTTAACAGAGAGGACGTTCTGCCCAAATGCTGTCCGTCTGTGGGGTATAAACAAGTCTCCTTGGATTGAAGCTCGAGTGGTCCTGTCTGAGCTTTCTTTATGCCTAATGAACTGCTTTAGTGGTGGTGGAGCAAGGGAGTGTAAGACTTTATATATTAAACACACTCTTTTAAGTTTCACTAAGTTATTGAAGTTCAGTAATTTATGTTTTTTTAACACATGACAGTGGTGGTGGGAAGTTGGTTTTTTGTCAAGTAGTTTTAAACTTCTTTTATAAATGTTTTCAATAGTTTTAAGTGTTGTTGGACAAGCAAGTGACCAGGACGTCAAACAATAGTCCATATGAGAGATGATCATTGAGTAAAAGTAAGTTTTTGCAACATTCATATTTAAATTATTACGTATATGATTAAAATTTCGATCATTAAATTTAAGTACCTGGGACACTTTATTTATGTGACTCTTGAAGGATAATGTTGGGTCTATAATGACCCCAAGATATTTAAATTCTGGAGCTAATTCAACCTCTACTGGCATAGTAGGGTGGTTGACTTGTTATATGGTCTCAGTCAAAGAAGGGAAACAGAGAGAAAGAACTGAGTTATGCCAGAATATAAAAACCTGGACTAAAAATGTGTAAAACAGGTCTTATGGACTGATCAAACCAAATGTATTTTTTTAATTTCAAATCAGCAACAGTATATATGCATGAAAAGAGATACGGAAGGAAAGAGGTATAACAGTGAATCTCTACAGCCATCTGTAAACCTTTGCGAAAGCTGTGTTTCAGAGACAGCTGCATTTGAACCAGTGATGTTGGGCATTTTGTCAAAAATGATTATATAAAGAAAACAGAAAAATACTGTCAAATTTAAAATAATGCACTACAATGATCACACGACAATGATCTCAAGCACATTGGCAATGCAGTAAAAGCAGACCTAGATAGAATAACACACCATCAGTCATGGATTGGCCTTCCCAGAGCCCTACTGAAGCATTGAGGGATCAGCTTGACACAAAAGGCAGCCAATATCCAAAGAAGAGCTTTGAATGTCCTTCAAGAAGCCTGGAGAGTTATTCCAAAAGACTGCTTAAAAAACTACAAGAAAGCTGCTTCAGAGAGTTCACCTTGTACTAATTGTAAAACAAAAGTAGTCATGCTGTGTAGGTTAGTCATTTTCTTTAAAAAAAAATGAATGGTCACAATACTGTGAATAGTAATAGTTGAAACTGAGTAATTCTATATTTTAGAAAAATAGTAACAAGTAGTCAGTCCAAAAAGCAATGAATACAAAAAAAGCCATAACTGGAGCTCAAACTACTGATCTGAGACATGCTTTTCACCCTAAGATGACATGACAAGCAAAATATTTTTAATGGTATGATCTAAGAGTTGTATCTTATTTTGGTTACTGTTTCATGAACAGGCCCCAAACAGTAGTGCAAACACTTGAAATTGCAGCAGCACATCATTCCCCCTTTGTTTTATAGAAATATAGATTTAGGTCACATACTGAACAAACTTGATGGTGCCAAGAGGGAACTGTGGTACTGTATGAGAAAGTCGGCAGTGGCCAAGAAGTATGTATGAAGACAGTAAGACACTAATGAGGTGTGCGGTAGGAGAGACAGATGTGTTTCAGGTTGGGGTGGGAATCAATCAATCAATCAATCAATCAATCAATCAATCAATCAATCAATTTATTCATAAGCACATTTAAAAACAACACAGGTTGACCAAATGGTTGTAAGTTGACAGAAGAGTTCATGGAGGAGTCTGATCTGTACTGATCTGTAATGCAAGTACAGAGCAGGTGGAAGAACCTGGAGAGGTGAAGAGAGGTGTAGGTGAAGGGAAGAGAAATGAAAGTCAGTAGAAGTAAGACAGAATTTGTGTGTGAATGAGAGAGAGACGAATTAGACAACTTCTAAATATGAAGATGCTAGGAGCAGAGATAGTGAAGGTAGATGAGTTTAAATATCTGGGGTCCACCATTCAAAGAAATGCACAGTGCACAAGAGAAATGGAGAAAAAAGCGTATGCAGGCGGGAGTGGGTCGAGGTGAGAGTTGGTGTGAACAATAGTAGCAAGAATGAAAGGGATGATTTACGAAGTGATAGTGAGACCTGCTATTATGTATGGTTTGCAGATGGTGGCAATGACAAAAAGGCATAGGGCAGAGCTGAAGATGTTAAGATTTTCATTGGGGGAGAACAGAATGGACAAGATTAGAAATTAGTAGATCAGAGGGACAGCACAGGGTTGACCAGTTTAGATAATGAACATGAACAAAAAATGTCAAAGATGGAGCTGTCAAGCAGGAATTAAAAAAAAAAGAAGACTAAGGAGAAGATTCATAGAAGAAGGACATGCAAAGAGTTGGTGTGACAGAGCAAGATGCAAGGGATAAGGTAAGATGGAGCCAGATGATCCACTGTGAGAACCCCTAAAGGGAGCAGCCCAAAGAAGAAGAAAAAATCTCACAGGACCACAATGGAGAGGCTGTATTGTCTTTGACACTTTAAAACTTGGAACATATAACGAACCTGTTTGGTTATACTGAGAAAATTACAAATGATCTCCAACACTTGAGACTGAGAACCTTCACAGACAGATCTCCAGCAATTTTATACTTAAGTACATGATACTATTAATAATGTCAATCTTCTTACTCTTAGGCCATATTTAATTTTATACCAATTTTTTAATTTCATAATTATAGTGTAAAATTGCTTCTATTTAAATAAATATTTCTGAACTGCCTGCAGCTGATGAGCATCATCTGCCTTGGAAGCCACACTCCAACCTAACTACACTTTCTGCCGTCCGTGGGAAAACCCCAGAAAGTGGGACTTGGTTATTGACAAAACAAACAGCGAATCAGCGTTTTAGAAAGAAACGACTAACCAATGTCTGTCAGCGAACACGAGGACGTCATACATTAAGTTTAGTGTGGTCGTCTCCTGTAAATAATATATCTCATAGATGTAGCGATACACTGTATTATTTCACACATTTCTCGTGGAGAATAGGTGTATTTAAATGTTTTTAGTACACTTAGGAAGGTGGCAGTCTTCTGCCAGCCTTCTTGTTGTTGACCGGCTCGCTAGGCTAACTTTAGCGTGATACTTAGCTGGTTAGGATAGTAGCATTAGCTGTCCATTTAGCTAATCAGAGGTTATTACGGGAGCAGTCTAACCTGTTTTCAGAAGGATTTGTCTAACTGGAATGGACTTCGAAATGACAGCCATTTGTAGCCACTAACCGAATTCACGCATATCAAAGGTAAGGTGTCCGTGTTGTTGGCACTGGACGTAAATGACTGTCTGGTGCATTTTAGCTCAATGTACGCTAGCCACTTTCCTCTCTTAAAGGGCCTTTGACTGACAGCTTCTGCCCGGCGACACGCTGCTGATGTTGTCAAAGGAAAAATGATGATTAAAGCAAGTCATAGTATCGCTTTGTAGGTGTCATCTGAAAGACCCCGTTAACTCAATGTCACAGCAGGTCAGCGCGTGTCAGTTTGAAATTACTTTCATTTTCAATCTGTGTTGGGTTTTAGCCATGTATGGCGTTAGCCTTACAAAATCTTGTAAAAATGGTCTAACGTTACTCAGGCTCTTAAAAACAACAGCGTATTGACGGAGTAAATGTCGCAGTTCAGTAGCTGCTGTCATGCTTGAAACAATTGACGGATGTAGAAGTATTGTGTGCTCTTGACTCTGTCGGGTGGTTGAAAAATCATATCTGAGGTGTGATCAGGGGAAATCCACCCGACTAGTATCTGTCTTACCCAGAGTGTCAGAATAAGTCAACTGTTTGCTCACTCTCTATTTTTAGAAATTTGAAATAAGTAGTAATTTTACACAAAGTGCTGATTTTTAAATAGAAATCACTGGTCTACTGAATGTAGATGAGAGCACAACAATCTCTCAGAAGAAACCAAAACAAGCGAACTGGATCACAGATTTTCTGAACTCTCAGTGCAGTTAAGACCGTTTTACCAGAGTTTTGCCGTGGTTAATTTCAGTATGGCTCATCACACATCTTTTTGCATCTAATTAATGAAACTGTTCCAATGTGTGTTTTTTTGTTTGTTTGTTTTTTGCTCAATTGTACTTTTAGACAGAATGAGCAGTTGTTCTTGTTAGTTGAGTTCTGATTTGTGCTTTGGAAAATTTCTAGATTAGAAATATTGTTAATGTTATGAATTATATTAATGTTTAACTTATTGTGGTATTAAAGCACATAACCACAGCTGTCTAACCACATTAATTTACATTGCAGAAATGTAAGCTCATCACTTTCACTTATTAGGTCAAACCTTAAGTGTTCTGGGCGGGGGTTTTGTGGGGAGGGTTTTCCTAATTTTTCTCGTTTCTTCTTAGACCACAGGTCAAGGTTGCCTTGACATTGGAGCTTTTGCCTAGCATGCAGACATGAGCTCTGCCCTGTGGAGCCAGGAGAAGCCCAGTGGGGGCTTCAGGGAGGACTGGCGTTTCTACATGGTTGTAAAGGAGTGTACAGTGGAGAAGCCTCCCCAGAAGACCCTGAGGATTCCCCGTGGCAGTCTTGGCCA